CGCATGATTACCCGCGCCGTGTTGCTTCAGCCTCAGTTGTGGTGTCACTCACAAGTCCTCAAATGCTGTAAGGTTGGTTTAGTTGACTGTTTGACTCAGAATTTGTCGATCGTAGCTGCAGGTACTCCAGTTGACGTCACACGAATTTGCCGTCCTCAGTTTTTGCGTCTGTGATCTGTCCATAACGACAGCTGCCTGCCATCCGTGTTCTGTAGGCAAATATACGTAGATTGAATCAGATTCTGTTCCAAGTCTGTCTCTGCTGCGAGCATCAAAGCCTTCTTTTGTTCCTTCTTGTTTATCCAGAACTTCTGTTCTCAGAGTTCCGTGCAGTAAGCTTAGTCGCGTACGCAAACGACGCCTGAAGATTACTTCTGCATGGCTCCCTCCAGTGGTATCGTTCACAATCTTCAGTAGGCAAGAAAGGCACGATCCAGGTGCACACGCAGTGGCGCACTCGTCTTTTAAGCAGGATCTTTTTCGCTGTTTGCATGACCATTTCAGCCAAGCGGTTTGAAGACTCATGATAAGAGGCAGTCGTTATATGTCTAATTCCATTTGAAGTGAGAACGATGGAAAATTTGGCGCTGATAAACACAGCTCTGTTGTCCGACACTAATGTTTCAGCAATCCAAATGTAACGAATGTAGTGCGCCGTTTTCTTATTGTGATAGCTGATGTCGTTGTGACCAGAATCTGGGCATCAATGACTAACAGAATCATCTGAGTTTGGAATTAACCGAAAAAGTATGTGTGGACATGTTTGCAGGATGTTTCTGGTCATTTCTAACGCTGCATCGGTACACGAGAGCAGCATTCGAGATTCCTGGCAATGCGTGTCACACCTAGCTTTTGCGCAATGTCACCATCCAGTTCAGTCCACTATATTTGAAAACGAGCAAGTGGCCTCATTTTCGCAACTTATGGGTACACATGGTGTAGTTCTTCCCTGATGGTGAACCACGATCTTTTAGCGATCATAGCCATTGCGTTTCACAGCAAACGCCCATTCTAGAGACATTTGAATAATCCTATTGCGAAAAGGTATTTGTTTTGCACTCATGTTTATGAGCCATCCAACATAAACGTAACGCATTACCAGCGCCAAGAGTGGATCTCTATCGGTCTTCTGACCTATATCTGTGGACGTGACCGGGTCTTGTTGAAAAGCTGAATTTGATTCCCAAGTTCCCGTGGAGTAAACCCGTACAAAGGAACCTCCGATAAGGGAAGTCGACTGAGAATATGATGGGTGGTATTCTGTCGGACAGAGCAGTACTGAATTCGGTATCTGTAAGCGGAAACGATAAGTGCGCTGTCATTTGTTGAGTTCCTTTTTCATATCCAAGGAACGAGATAAGGGGCTTGTGATCTGTGTGAATCACAAAATTTTGGCCGAGCAAGTACTGCTGGATTTGCTTGATACCAAAAATAACAGTGTCTGTCTCTCAATCGAGGTAAGAGTAGTTCCTTTCGGCTGCGATTAACGTCTGTGAGGCGTATGCAATAGACCACTGCGAACCATCGAGTAGTTTTGTGGCAAAACAACCCTAAGACTGCAACGAGAAGCATCACACGATCATAATGTGCAAGGGCATCTACTGATGCCAACAGTTTCTTTACGGCATCGAAAGCATTCTTGTGAACCGCATTCCATTTTCACGGTTGGTTTTTGCGCAAAGGATGACGGAGTGGAGGCTGATTGTATGAACCGAGAGAACTGAGTGACTGCTCGTAGGAAGGATCGTAGTTTTAGGAGCTGAGACTTCGAACAACGCTCTTATTTTATCTTCTAACGAATAACATCCATCGCGTGACACTCCATACTTAAGGTATTGTGCACTTAAGAAATATGCACTACTTTTTTCCGTATCAGCCCAGAATTTGATAGCCTTTTGAGAGCTACATCCAGAATGTTTAGATGTTCAGCAGCAGTTCGCCTTGTAAAGTAGAATATCATCCTAATAGGGACATGTATTTGGTATGACTTACACTAACTTGTCACTAGTTTGTTAAGTGATGATCGATTCATAGCTTATTCCGAAAGTCATACGTGTGTAGCAGAATAACCGAATATTTTTTATGGTCGCGTAGCCCTGCGATTCGTCGTCGAGTCCATTCAGTTCATACGCATGGTTCAGGCCTTATTTTGCAAAAACCTCACCATCAAAGAGCAACGCACTCGGCAGCGGGTGTCGACCACAGTCCCGTTACTTTTTTAATATTGGTACAATAGATGCTCCCCTAAGGCAGAGTGCGTGTTTTTCAAATTTTTGTTGCATTTAGTCTCGGCATCAGATGTGCACTGTAATTATTCAGCCTCCCAGGGGTGGTTTAATCCAACGAGACAATGTGTTTCGACAAAATGTCGGATATTTGCAGATGAGCTTCAACTAACACACGGACGTTTGACCGGTCGCGACCAAGTGTGTGTGGGCCTGGCCCGCCGGATACCTACACGCATATGACTACTAGAACTGCAGTAAGATATACGTGCAACATAAGTGCCGGGAACATCCGCTTTCTGCCCGAAGTAAGATCACAGTTGTATTGTGAGCAGGTCCACTTTTGGCAGCTGCCATAGAGCATATTATCGTAACAATTGCAGAGTCAGTATCGATTTCGAAAGCCACAAGCTGATCTTGTACCAGCAGATCTGCAACAAGCCGTTTCTCCGCCGACGCATTGCGATGAAGTATTTTTGTGGTCTTGATCCAGCGCTGATTCAACTCCGCTGTTACGTGATTCCCCGCTTCGGATTTAACTACCGTGAACATACTCAGTTTGGAAAGGTATACTTTCTGAATGCTGTCCTTCTTTCCACAAAATTTACACATTGAGTAAAGGTATTGACAGTCACTCGGACTCGGATGACACCCACTACAGCGATAACAAAGGAGGCATCTGTGCTACGCTATGCGAGGCAATGTATGACCACGATTGATCTGAGAAACTTCTTCACGTTATGTGTTAAATCCTCGTCGCCGAGGAGAGTGCCACTAGTTCCTAGACAGGGTTCGCACATTGGCGAACCATATCGCAAGCTTTCTCCTAAGTCATTGGCCCTACATCTGCTGATAGCAGTCGCTCTCGTGCTTTCGCATCAAAGATATCAACAACCAATGCTTGAATGAGCACTGCTTGTTCGAAACGATTCAGCGGGATTCGATCGTATGCACATTTGGAGAGAACAGCAAGGGGACGATGGATAAACTCACTTACGAGCTCTGGCGGTGTTGGAGATGAAGTCTCACAACGGATTGCAAAGGCTCGCCTTGCATTCATCAAACTGAGACATCTATGGCGTCGTCGTGATGTCAGTCTCAGGCTCAAGGGCAGGGTGTACAATGCTTCCGTCCGTGCAGTACTCTTGTACGGCTGTGAGACTCGGCCTATTCGCTCGGAAGATATGAAGCGGCTATCAGTCTTTGATAATCGCTGTCTACGAAGGATTGCTAGGGTGTGGTGGCAACACCACGTAAGCAACGCAGAGGTGAGACCGCGTGCTTGGGGCGAATAGTGCCAGTCTTCAAGACGTTATTCTCCGACATCGCATGCGCTGGCTCGGGCATGTTCTGCGCATGCCAGCCCATCGCCTTCCACGTCGAGCGCTATTTGCACTCCCAGGGAGCGATTGGAAAAAGTGCCGCGGTGGACAGCCGATGACGTGGAGAGGGAGTATGAAGAAGGCGACCTCAAGTTTGGCAGCAGTCGGACCAGTCCGCCTTCCAGGTTGGGGACCACGAGATGCTGAATTGCAGTGGTTGGAAACATTGGACGTCATGGCCCGCAACAGACATCAGTGGCGGCAATGTTGTTCCGCAATTTCACCATCCCTTTGATACACACAAAAACTCACAAAATAAAACAAAAAATACCAAATGGCGTGTGCAAAACCAAAAATATCGTTTCCCATATTTTTTAATCTCATTTGTGTTCCCATCTTCTTCACCTTTTTCTTCTGCCGTGGTTCTGATGGCACAATGTCTGTTAACAGACTGTGAATATATATATATATATATATATATATATATATATATATATATATATATATATATATATATATATATATATATAATACTTACGAGCTCACTCGGTTGCTGTGTCACCGTGTTAGATTTATAGAGCAGTGTAGGCACATTTTACTGTCTACTCCATAATCCATCGAGATGACGCATAGGCGACTAGCTGAGGATGCATCATGATCCAAAAACAAGTAAGGTTAAAAGAACAGTCCCATATATCCTCTCTTCACAACGCTCCTTATATCTTCGGATCACTGTGCACTGATGAAGTTTGTGCTACCCGCTGCCATGCCGGATCATCGCTAGTGCTAAATCACCTCTTGCCTCTGCAGGTATGACAGTAAGACCGAATTTACTGACTTAGCTAGACACAGTCGTCAGTTTTTGCACAGCTAGCACCCTGCCATTAGCAGTCGACTTGGCATTGCGATTGGTCATCATCAAGCAATCATAGTCTAATGCCTGTTCAGTTGTTTTTCTCTTCCTTTGCCTATTGCGTAATCTCCAAAACAATTAATTACTGGGCTATGCTCTGTACCTGGTCATCATAGATCGACCTATGCATAATGCTGCGCGGGTTATGCGATCCCGAATTTGCTTCCTTCTCTGTCACGGGCTCACCAGTCCGATGTAATTTAACCTTAGCCATTATACAACTCGAGTACATCTCTGTGTTCCACCTTGCCGACTCTCATTTAGGCCATCTGTTTGCCAGCAGTTTGATCCCATGCAACTATAGTCAACTACTTGCATGAGTCTGTCTAATTGATTATTTACTCGCATTTTTTAACTGTGCGGTCTCCAGCTACCACTATATGCGCGAAATGGGGATACTTTCTGAGGGTGCTCTTTTGTGTATTGTTTGCACAATGTGATAGTCTCTTAAAATAGTGATCTTTGTTTATCCCTGAAACCGTGTTTTTCAATGTGAGTTTCTTTAATGGGGTTCCCCTCACTGTGCCTCACTTGCTTTAGTGATCCCAAGGGTATTCACACTTTGATCACAAAATCCACTGCCAAGGAACGCTATTTGCTCAGCGACACAGACTTGGACCTCCGGGAACCAAAATTGCGTTTCATCCTCAAGCGTAATCCACACAGTTCCTCTTGGATGGATATGCGACTGTATTTGGAGGCACAGGTAACTGCCTTATTGATGTTTTACTATCACCCAATGACTGTTTGAATTAACATACTTGTTGCACAGGCAATAATAAATAATAATAAATGTGTCAGCTGTACGCCGTAACGGCGCTTCGCTGCCGCGCGACCATCACCAGTCGCGCGCGGGCTGAATATACCGCGAGGACGCCCCCCCCTACGCGGATTTGCACAGGCAAACAAGGTGCGTAAATACCAAACTGATACATGACTTCATTCTCACTGTCTACTGCCTACCATCTGGCCATCTGCAGACGGGCAGCGCCTTTAACGCTTTTGTGAGATTATTGGTCACTTGAGCTCATCCAAAATGGACGACACTTAAACACCACGCCAGATGGGCTTATTGGGGTTGAACCCCAACGCAGCTTGAGCTGCTCGTGCACGCCCAGCGTCAAATGTGGCCGATTGATGGTCACGACCTCAGCAAATGTAGACATTCTGGCCTCTTTATTACGACAGATACGCATGAACGCTGAATCAGGATCAACCTGGTGATCTGTACCGAGTAGGCGTCTAGCGATCGATGATGGTGGCTGTGCCGTGGATTGTTGCATCGGCATCATAGCATTTCACTTTTTGATTTGCCCTTCAAGCTGCATATTCTGAAACCGATCCGTTTCACAGTTACGACTTTTTCTGCAACTATGAAAGAGATGCGGTGGGTTTGGTGAAACCCGGGTAAATAGGCTTGGTTACACCGCTTGGTTGGAAGGTTAACTAACGGATACTCCTCGCGTTACTCCGACCTGCCAGCGAGTAGTATGTCGCAACTCCACTCAAAAGGGTCGGCCTAGACTTCCACGAAGCGCCTGAGTTTTCGGGTACATTCCTACTAGCTATGAATACCAGAAGCTCTCAGTGGTTTGTGTGAAGATACACAAGGCGTTCACAGCAAATTAACTGAGCTTCGATTTCATCAAACATCAATGTCCGGGGAACTCACTGTGATAACCGAGATATGGATGTATGACGCGATTACCGACGCTGTGTTGTCACTGCCTGAAATTTTACTTTTGCGCAACAATTAACCTAATAAACGATGCAGTGTACTTCTTTGGCACCACTCTGATCTACATATTTATCTCCTTAACGTTCCAGGAGTTCCGGTTGTCGACTCACTATAGAGCCGTTTGCATCTTAGGTAGGTTGATCTATGCTTGGTGGCAATCGTGTACCGTTCGCTGATGTCCACTTTAGAATTGGACCATATTCTAGCTTCCGCTACGAAGAGCCTCCTGGCAGTCTTACAGCCACGTCTTCCTGGTAGGAAATTTAACCTGTATGCTCTAAAAGTCTTCGCGGGCAGTTGAAGGCAAAATTTTGAGAGCTAGCTGCCGGTTCACCTATGTACAACCATTTTAATTCTTCAACGCGATTCTGAACAAAAAACCAACCGGCCACCTTAGATGCATATTCACCAATGTGGAACTCCTGGTCGACATGGTATGGATTGGCACTTCTTCTGGTCGCAGCGTCCACACAATACTACTGTTCCATTGTATCTGTTACGCAGAATATCTCAAAGACGCTGAAAAAGCTCACACCGTGGCCTGTTATGATAAACTATCTGACCTCACTCGTGCAAATGCTCCTACCCGTATGGTCCCTTAACAATCACCTGGGAGAGTTGTCATCCCATTCATTCGGCTATTGCCGAATACATCAATATGCCAAAATACAGCTTTAAAAAGTGGGACTTTCCCTAAAGAGCAGAACTCGAAAATACATGATATTGAGGGGCTCAGCTTTAGTGCCCACGTAGCCTCTTCGACCGAGAGCGTCTGTGGTGTACAAATAACACAAATAAACTACTACATCAAACTGGTCTTTGAGGATAGAGTAACATGTCAACAACAATACCTTTGGATTGTAAGCGATAAAACGCTTAGGAACCATTAAGCTATACGCGCAGTCGCCGATTGTCCAAAATCAACGCCGGAACAGATCACAGGTCACCGAAAACGAATTCTCCACCCGGAGCTGATCCACACTCCCCGAGATAATTTAAAAGTTAAGCCGGTGTGACTGAGGTGCTACTGAATAACAATAAATACCAACGTGTTACAAGTCTTATACGGTTTTCTCACACACGCACACACACAAATTGGCAATCAAATCTTCGGTGGATACTGCTGAAGACTGATCCCAACCAAATTAGTAACGAATGCAACTGAGACACGTTACACATTAGTTAGCGTGAAGCCAGCCTTGCAAAGCAACCATAATTGGCCAGTAGCAAATGTACCAATGGGACAGTTATGATAAATGATTGATTGGGACAAGATCGACAGGCAAGGAACTTAGTCTGAGCGTCCGTCTTACGTACCCAGATCAATGTGTCTATAGTGGTGTTCGTTGCAAACTCTGGTTCAGATTATCGGTAATTCACATATGCCGTGCAATGAGTGTAGTATGCAACAAGACTTGAACGAAGTGAGCTTGCTTAGCCATAGAAGGGTGTGCTAGATGGACAAAGTTGTGTGGTTTAACGATGTTCATGGTTTAGGTAAAGAGCACGCTAGACGGGATCCTGTCGTATGTCAAGCAAGATGAGCAATCGCTAAAAGGTCAATCATAGGGTTTGTAGGAAGACAATAGGGATGCACGGTCTGAACAGATTGATTTGTTCGACCCAGCGATGAGGTTTTGTTCTAACGCCCGGCTACTTTGTAGATACGCCAACATGCTTGTAAAGTTCAGTGCGAACTTCCTGCTTTGCATACAACAATTGAGTTAGCGCAAACAGCATGAGAAGAAGCCAATGCTCAAGGACATCAATTCACCCTTGACTTCCACAATGTGCCGTCAGCTGGCATCTTTCTTTTGCAGAGCCTCCCGATATCAGGGTTTAGTCACATTTCCTGTACCGCTGCGAATATACTGAGGCGACTGACCTTCTTTCAAGGGTACAGCTCTCCCAGAGTAATCATTTGCGTTTAAGAAAGCTGAACCGTTGACAAATTCTTGCAACGTTATGTTGATTAACTGCGGCTATTTTACTTTGTGGAAGCACAGGGTCTTCACTCAAATTTGCAAGTGACGTGCATAATCAGCCAATCACTACCCCATAACCCTTTTCCGGTAGTCTCTGAATTCATGGACACCATTATCACTGAGGAACTGATGGGGTACCTGGAGAACAGCAAACTTCTTGCCCCGGAGTAGAACGGATTTCGCTACAATCGGTCAGGCACCAAGAACCTGAGTATAGCCATTGCTTTCTGGATTATAAGTCGATTTCGTCTATATGGACTTCTCAAAGCCATTTTACCCTTCAGATCACCACATTCTGCTTCACGGTCTTGAGAACTATAGATCCAGTGGTCCCGTTATGGGTTCATAGGGCCTTTCCTGACTCAATCGTGTCCTAAGGCTCGGTACTCAAAACACACCTGCTCCTGGTCTACATAATAAGTCTCGGGAAAATGCTCTTTTCAAATGTTCTATCTTTCGCTGATGATCTAAAGATGTGACGTGCTGTTACTACAATGGGAACTCACACAGCACTGCAAGGGACCGAAAACATTCTCCAGTTTAACACATCCAGGTGCAAAGAATTGAGCATGCACGTTAAGGCACGGACACCTGTTGGCTAGGGGTGCACTGTCTACAGCACAGCGCCTGTAGTAACTATACGTAGCCCAAATTAATTGATCCCACGAGACAGGATAAGGAACTGTAGGCTAATGAACCTATACTATATATGCACGGTCTGGGCATAGCAAATAAAGCATAAATTTCTGTTACCATGGCTCCGTAATTCCAATTAAGGACATTGATCAACTTACTCATAGGTTTGCAATCGTATTGAGAGAGGATGGAAACTGAAGAACGTGCGGAAACGGTACGGCGTACCATTGTGCTAATCGGCAGTCTCTCAATTGTGAAATAGTTGATCTTGACTAGTCAAGAATATGCCAGTGGTGCGAAGTGAAAACCTATGGCATTTCACAATGCGAGTGTTCGATGCAAACATATGTAAACTTCTGTACAGAAATACATGAAGGGTTTGGGAGTAGGGATATCATGTCCTCAACTAGGTAATCTAGTTTGGCTTAATAACTAGTCTCTTTAAATCTTACACCGCCCATGAGAATCATCTCAGAATACTTTTGCAAAATGACCTTCGCTGTTTTTAAGTAGGTTTTAGGGGCACCGAAGGAATCATGCAAACACTTTGGCCTCTTGCGAAGGGCGTTCGAAATGTTCGGCGTCCCAATCTTTTCGCAGATACCCGCAGCATACGTTAGACCGCACATGGCATGCACTATACAATTCTGGCAGTCCGAACAGACACCCCATCTCACAGCACTCAATGCTACACAACGCAGCGCGACAGCGTGTGTTCAATAGAGAGGTAAGCGGAGCCAATGTCCAGATACGAGGTCACGCAAAGGCTTACCGAGGAGCACGTGAGCTGTCTGCTGCTTGCGAAGGTCACCAGCACGAGCGTGGAACGACCCTCGACTGTTTTCCCAAATTTGTGAATCGGGTGCAAACTGATTGGCCAACAAATATAAGTTCGAGTCAACGGAGGCGAACCATTCTGCCAAATATGGAAAATCCGTGGGACGGAATTAACTCACATTGGCTGAGAGTCAAACGCTTCCAAAATTAGTGTGTTTCGTTCACTAATAAATAGAACAGACCTATCGTGTAGAATAGACTCCCTGTTTACCGAGCCTTGGCCTTCTGTATCCCGTCGGTTGGTTGGGCGCATGACTGAGCAATCCGGCGGTCGTAGTCTCGCAGGCGCAGAATAACAGCAGTGCAGCAGTACGAAGGCAGCTTTACAACAGTGTTAAAGGTTTGTCTTACCTCCCCCACAGTGGGTGTTATGGGCGTCTTCTGATGGATCTCAAAATGGTGTATCAGATCCTGAAAAATTCAACCAACTTGTTTTCATCTTTTGTAACTCAGACAAAGCACAAACCGACGGAGAAAATCACTTATCTTGGCCACGCATTACAGCCGGCT